TAGCTTTTGCTGCCCTGGGCAGCATGACATTGCCTCATTTGGGCATGCACATCTATTATTCTAGGAGGCAGCTAGCAAAGTGCCCCAATCCATCTGCTTGCTTTTCATGGGCTGATGCTCTTCTTGATGTTGACAGCTGTCTTAATATTCTTAGGCCACCTGCCACACAGTAAATGCTGTGTGGTTTGAACCCACCAGCCGCTTTATAGAAGATGTAGTAGTCAGCATTCATAAAGATTATAGCCTTAGAAACTCTATGCACAAGGTCTACTAGGTTATCAGGTTGCTGTCAGTTGGAATCAACTGGATGACAATGGGGTTTTTGTTGTTGTTGTTTTGGTTTGGTTAAGATCTGTATGGAAATTTATCCCTGCAGTGGGCATTTCAAACCCCAAACCTTACCATTTCTAAATGCGTCCTTGTGTAAATGCTTTGGAGATCAATGCTGAGAATATATTCTCATAGTTTTTAGCATAGAGCTTATGGCTTAGGAATGGTAGTTCTTTGCAGCATGGCATAGTAAGCATATAGCACTGGATATCCTGAGACTTGGGATCCAGTGGTACTGTTATTAATAAGATATATTCAATTTTGTGAAGGTCATGTAACCTCTAGGAACTTCAAGTTTTCTTATTTGTTAAACAAGCTACTGGATTGCAGGCTATATATGGGAGTCATGAGGTCATGAAAGTGGGGAGGAAGAGAGCATACTTTCAGTGATCTCTTTTAGAGAGCTTTCTTTGAACTTTCTCCATAGGGTTGGAAGACCATCTTACAAATGCCATGGAAAAATTCCCAATGGTCTTCTTCTGTCTCCCTTTTCAAACTTGCTTGATAGAAAGTGCTTATTATCCATCTCTAGGAATGAACCTACATTTGACAAATAGTAGGCGATCAAGAACATACACTTCTTGTGGTTCTGAAGTTTTTACAATTTGTGGGATTGTCTGTAAAGAAAAAGAATTCAAGATTAAGGCTAAGCAACTAGATCCAAACATGGGTATTGACATAGAATGAAAAAATAAATTACACAAATGACCAATTTAAAAAGAGGGGCTACTAACACAAAAATCATAAAAGCTAGGGAGAAAACAAACTTTTCTATTAACTGCTGACACTATAATACTTTTGTTGTTCTGGTAACATACTCTTTGATAGCTTTTCATATAATGATTTTGTAGTATCAGTTTCTATACTTATTCATATAATAGAAAGATATCAGTCTTTCCTCTGGGTTTGTTGAGTTTTATTAATATTTTTGACAGAAGGACTATATAAACATGCAACACTATACACACTCACTATTTGTGGTATTGCTTTAGGTCTGTGTCCTATAACCAGGAATTCTGATACTTTGTATTTTACATGATTATCATAAAAGTGTTTGATGCATTTGTAGTTACAAAAATTATATGCATTTTATTATTGAGCATATTCTTGTTATGAGAGAAATTACCTTAATTTGATGTGATTCTTCCTCTCACAATTTTGTCTTTTGGTGCCTGGAAAGTTTTTCACAGGTTAACTTCTGCTGCTGTGAATTTCAAGCCTTGTTTCAAGTGTGTTATTGTTGTTAGGTGGTTAAGTGTCATTTCTGACTCATAGCGACCCTATGCACAACAGAAGGAAACACTCTTTGGTATTGTGTCATTTTCACAATTGTTTTTAAGTTTGAGCCGATTGTTGCACTTTTCGTCAATCCACATCTCTAATGCACACATTTTTTTCCATGCAACAACCATAGGATACATTCATATCTCGACAGGACTATTGGTCCTCTATCTTGGGCTCCTATTCACTCTGCGGTGGTGGTGGTTGTATGCTGCCAAGTTGGTTCTGACTAATAGCAACACTGTATAGGGTTGGTTTCCAAGGCTGTAAATCTATACAGGAACAGAAAGCCTCATATTTCTCCTGCGGTTTGTGAAGCTGGTAGATCTGAACTGCTGACTTTGTAGTTAGCAGTCCATCTCGTAACCCACTATGCATTCACTTTGTTTTTGTTGTTGTTAAGTGATGTCAGTTCAGTTCTGACTCATAATGACCATGTATCAGGTTTCCAAGGAGCGGCTGATGGGTTTGAACCACCGACCTTGTGGTTAGCAGTCCAATGTGTATCCTACAGCCCCAAACGAATACTCCTGCATTTACATTTTTGTTGTTGTGAGTTGGTTTCAACTCATTCACCTTTATAGGGTTTCCAAGGAGTGGCTGGTGGGTTTGAGCCACTCACCTTGTGGTTAGCAGTCCAGTGCTTACTGACAGCACCATACCAGGACTCATACTCACTCTGTTGTTGTTAAGTGCTGTTGAGTTGGTTCTGACTCAGAGCTACCCTGTGTAGGGTTTCTGAGGAGTGGCTCTGGTGGGTTTGAATCGCCAACCTTATGGTTCAAACTGACCTTGTGGTCCAGTGCATTACCTTGCAGCACCGCACTATGACTCCATCACATTCACTCTAGGAGCCTCTAATAATAATGAGAGGGGCTTTTAAAGAGTTAGTGGAAAAATGGAATTAAAAAACAATGAAATTTCTCATGAACTTTTTGAAGCCTCTTCGTATATCTTTGCAGGTGCTCTGATAGAACAGTGGTTGGTTACGTGCTTGGCTGCTCATGGAAAAGTTGGTGGTTCGAACTTCTAGATGTTCTACAGGAGAAAGCTGTGGCAATCTGCTTCCATGAAGATCGTTGTTGTTGTTGTTAAGTGCCGTCAAGTTGATTCCAACCCATAGAAACCCTGTATAGGGTTTCCAAGGAGCAGCTGGTGAGCTTGAATCACCGACCATGCAGTTCAAATGACTTTGCAGTCTGACACATTAGTCCATAGCACCACACCAGGACTCCCCATAAAGATTATAGCCTTGGAAACCCTTGTAGGACCTGCTGGGTCAGTACAATAGACACATCTGGTAGTCATTTAATATTCCTTTTAGGAGATAGATTATTCCCTGGCCCTATTAGCTGGAGGGAACAGTTTGTTCCTTACTTTTTTTGTTGTTATCATTCTCTTTGGGCTTTCTAGTGATAGAGATTCTTCCCTAAAATAATAAAGCTAGAATTGGTACCTTTACTTGCCTTGTGTTAGTGTATTGCTCTAGCCATTTAAAAAATTCCTCTTAGACTCACAGAAAAGGAAGAGGATTTACAAAGCAGAAAGCACTGTTTAATCTTGAGGGATAGTTTGGGATGAATCCAGTTAAAGAAAACCTGGCTAATTTAAATCTGTGTGTTAAATCCAGTCAGAACAAGTCAGGATAAGTGCCAAGGACAGGCAAGTTGGTGGTGGTGGTGATGTGCCATGGAGTCGGTTCCTACTCATAGTAGACCCTGTACAGGGTTTCCGAGGCTGTAAATCTTGACGGGAACAGAAAGCCTCATCTTTCTCCCGCAGAACAGCTGGTAGTTTCGAACTGCTGACCTTGCGGTTCGCAGCCCGATTCGTAACCACTACGCTACCAGAGTTCCTTGTGAAGCAGCAGTAGTAGTAGTAATAGTAGTAGTAGTAGTCGTAGTAGTTGTAGTAGTCGTAGTCGTAGTCGTAGTCGTAGTAGTAGTTATGAAGTGCAGTCAAGTCGGTTCCGACCCACAGCGAACTTGTATAGGGTTTCCGTCGTAGTCGTAGTCGTAGTAGTAGTTATGAAGTGCAGTCAAGTCGGTTCCGACCCACAGCGAACTTGTATAGGGTTTCCGAGGAGCAGCTGGTACGCTTAAAGCAGTTGGTAGGGGTTAAAGTGCTTCTTAGAAGAGCCTTTGGGGTAGAAAGGAAGCTAAAATGCCATCAGCTGATTCTCAAATGATTTGTGTATTTAGACATGCAGTTTTCTCATTGTTTCTCCTCTGGTACCCCTAAACAGAGAGGGTTGTGTGACTTGAAGGGTCTCCCCTTCCCCCAGTTAAAACTGCCTCACAAATTTCATCTCATTTACTTGTATAAAATTTTAGCGATTAAGTGTGTCATATCAATTCACTGATTTCTCATGGTTGTTTGGCTTTAAATCAGCAAGCAAACCAAAACACTTGGGATCACAGGGTCTGTTAATATCTTTACCATCAACCAATAGGACATAAAAACTAAGAATAGCCATACTATTGTAATTAGGTTTTTGATTTTAAAGGAAGTCTTAACCTTTTTCTTTCCAAATTTCAGCGACATAGGTTAATAAATACTTGTTTAATATATAAAGATAGTAAGAAAACTTGAATCATGCTTGTTTTTGTTCAGTGTTTTTTAAAAGTTTTCATCAGTGTCATTTTTTTGGAAGAGGGTTCACAGACCAGTATGTAACTTGGAGTGTACAACTTTAAAGCATTTCAGGATTTGGAAAAGTTACTCCGCGCCTGAACTGGCGACCAGGAAACGAGTTGCTGGCGGAACGTGACAGGTACAGTTCTTTTTTCCATCTCTGAGATTCAGGGTGGGAGAACTGAGTCTTTTGCAGAACTGGTTGACATTGTTTGGGTGAGCTGTTTGTGGGTAGAAAGACAGCCAGGGGCACCATGGCGCTGCTGTTAATCAAGTGTATTCATGAATTTCTCTCAATCTGAAAATGTTTAGGTGCACTAGCTGTAGGATCGAAAGCAAATAAGTACATTCTCTCTCCTGCTACCCCCCCGCAAAAGAAAAAAAAAAAAAAGCCAACGTGCTGCAATCAGAACTGATTTGGGCGGGAAGCCCAGCGTGCAGAGTCGCGGGCTGCGCGCGCGCTCGCTGGGACTTAGCACAGGCGTCGGGCCCGGGGCGGGGCCGCGGCCTTTGGCTCCTCCTGGGGGCGGGCAGGCCGGCGGGGGCGGAGGGAGGGGCTGTCGCAGCGCTGGAAGCTGCCGCACTGGGAGCGCGTCGCGCCCAGCCTCTTATATTCGCGATGGATTGAGACGCGCCAGCGGCCCGCGCCCATCGGTCGCTAGCTCGCCAGGTCCCACGGCTCAGGGCTGTGGACGCGCGACACTGCTTCGCAAGTTCTCCGCAGACGACCTCTGGTCGGCGGGCGCACCGGCGAGATGTCCGGCGGCCGAAGGAGGGGTGGCGCCCCCTGGCATAGCCTCTCTCGGTTCTTTGCTTCCCGGAGCCCTTCCCGGGACAAGGAAGAGGAAGAGGAGGAGAGGTTGGGGTCGAGCCAGACGCCAGCTCCAGACCGGGGCGCTGCCAGGTGGGAGCCGTAGGGGGCGAGAGGGTGGTCTGCGTGGACTAGGCAGGACCCGGAGCCCCTGGCTTGACTATCGGCAGCGAGCCGCTCTCGGGCCAGGCTGCAGCTTGCTAGCCACTTTCTGTTCTCTTTCCACCATTGCTAAAGTTTCCTTCTTCTCGTTCTGTTCCCCTTGCCGCATCACTCCCTATTTCTTGCTCTGTTAAATTCTAGGTAAAGTTCCTGGCCGCGGGCGTGTGCAGTGCCACACGACCTAGCCGCACACCACGTTCTTCACTCCCCCTCCCCCCCGCCGTGTTTCTGTTCCTGTCCCACAGGCTTCTGTTCCTAAGTTAAGGCAAAGCGATTTCCCCGGCGTTCTGCCGGCAGTAATGGGAAACAGTTGTGAGCGCTCGCGTAGAGATCAACCTAGGGAATGAGGGAGGGCGAGTTCTGAAAACCACTTGTGTAGGCTCTGGGCAGAAGTGGGGAAAGGTAGTCTTTGGAGTGTCACGCCTTCAGCTGGCATCTTGCGATGTTATTTACTTGCTCTAAGAATGAATTTTTTTTTTTTTTTTTTTAAAGTGTGATACGACGTTCCCGACTTTGTCAAAATATTAAAACGTCCCTAGTTTCATTTACCAGGGAGTGCGGTGGCTCTTTGGGATAAGCAACGGACTGCGAACCATAGGGTCAGCCTTTGGAGCCCACTTAGCTACCCCGTGGGAGAAAGATGAAGCTTTCTTCTCCCGCATAAATGTACAGCCTTGGAAACCCTATACTGAGTCGCTGTGAGTCGGAACCGGCTGCCCGGCAGTTAGCATCAACAGCTTCATTTGCCATTATTAACCGAACATTTACGTAAAATAATTTTGAAGTCTGAATGGTGCTAGCCAGAATATCAGTTCTGCTGTTGTGAGCAAGACAGTTTGTGGTGCCTGCCATGACTGTAACTCTAACAATCTTGGATTATGTGAAAGCAGTATTTAAAAGAAATCCCAGCTAGACTCAGCAAGCAAAAGTTGGAAACTTGATAGTATTAGAAAGGAATAGGTCAATTTCAGCATTATCCTAAAAGCCTGCGTGCCTCCTACCCTACTCCTCTTGGATTTTTCAGGTGCTTCTCAAATATAATCTGCTCTGACTGGAGCTAACCACTCTAGTAACTAGTCCCTTGTCCTACCTGCCACAAATCTCATCATCTCAGATAGTTACAAATGGTGACTTTTTGGCAATGAAAGCTTTCTTATGCTTATATGAACACTAATTTTGTCCTCATCTTTTTAATAACTTGCCAGATGTTGAGAGGATCACAGATAATCCTGTGTGTGTTCTGTTTTAAATGGGCTTAAATCTTTCTTTTCAAGAATATAAGCAACAAAGCTTTTGTTGAAAGTTTAATGAAACAAATGGAAATGCCTAGTGTAGTATGAATGTCCCAGTAACACAACACACTGGTGTTCACAAGATTGGAAACAGAATTTTGATTTATCAACATGATTTTATTTCAGAGTTAAAGGGCATTTCGACTGCTCTTCTATGCAGCAAAGAAGATCATTTTACTTTTTGTGGTGGATTTACATGCAGAGTAGTCAAATCAACAATCAAACTGCTTGCTGTGCTGGAATATAAAATAAATGAGTTTTTCTTCAAGGAGACATCAGAAACAGGGTCTACGCGACAACAATAGTACTAGCACATTACATTTGTTTGGCACTTTGTAGTTTATAAAGTACTTTCTATAATACTATTATCCATGAACTTGACCAACTATTATTAGCATTCCCATCTTACTGTAAAACAAACAGGCTTAAAGAAACTTGTTCAAAATCAGTTATTTTTCAGTCAAATCATACACTGTACCTGAACATATTAGGCCCCTAACATTTGTAAGAGTTAATGTAGTCTGCCTTTTTAGTGTACTAAAAATAAGGAGCTCTGGTAGCGTAGTGAATAGGAATCTGTGAACCGCAAGGTCAGCAGTTCGAAACTACCAGCTGTTCAGCAGGAGAAAGATGAGGCTTTCTGCTCCCGTAAAGATTTACAGCCTCAGAAACCCTATACAGGGTCGCTATGAGTCAGAACCAACTCCACGGCACATAACAACAACAAAAATGAGATGCATTGTTTCTCAATGGTGGTCCTTTTATCTTCTTTACTTGTGCGAACCTTTTATCTTCTTTACTCCAGTAGTGACTTACATGAATTTTATTATGCAGACTTAAGCATGTGTAAATACAAATCTGGGTAGAGATTCATTGAAAACGGAATGAAAATATAAGTACAAATATAATCCTAAGACCAATGAGTTAAATTTACAGCATTGCCCTGTTTTTGGTTACTAACAAAACGCAGATGGTGGCAACTATGACAAACACAGAATCATTGTGGTTTGCCATGATTTATGCCTTCCAGCATTTCTCTGTGAACCATATATTTGTTTTATAGTATGCTCTGAGTTATATGGATTTGACTCAGTGTGAGCACATCATTTATGCACTGAGTTTGCTGCTGTTGTATTGGCAATTTAGGAAGGGCTGTTGGCATCAGCACTGTTGTATTCAAACTCAGGTGTGGGTTAATGCACTGGACTGCAAAGTCCGTTCAAGGTCACTCCTCAGAAACCCTATATAGGGTCGCTGTGAGTTGGAACCGACTCCACGCACTTAACAACAACAACTTATAACTTAAGGAATCCCTGGGTGGTGCAAATGATTAAGCTTTGGACTTTCCAAAAGGTTGGCAGTTCGACCCCACCCAGAGGCATCTCTGAAGACAGGCATAGCATTCTGTTTGAAAAGATCACAGCCTTGAAAACACTTAAGGAACAATTCTACTTTGTACATATGGAGTTACTATGAGTCAGAATAGATTTAAAGACAACTAAAAACAATTTATAGCTTGCGTGGTTGGTCAGATCCAGGAAGTGCTGGATCTTAGATTATATAGGAAATTAAGACCATAGTTCAAATTTTCATAAAATTTCTTGAGAAACCCCCAGAAGTATGTGGATTACTGCTTCAATGCTTAGTCTAATTAATGAACACACAGGAAAGAGAATAAACACAAAATTGAGGAGAGCAGGGAGGGCTTCATTGTAGACATGGTTTTAATGGGCCTTCAAGAAGTAGATTACATTTCTGTAGGCAGAGAATTTAACAAGGAACATGGCAGAAATGGGAGCAGGCATTCTAGATTTGTTAAAAGCCTGCAGATGTTTATAATCTGTAGGGGGTTGAATATGTGGGCTATAGTGAAAAAGGCAGTTAGAAAGTTAGCTTAGAACTGGATTGTAGAAGTATTTGAGAGAGTTTTTAGCTCTTGATAAAAAGTTCAGAGGGATTTTGCAAAAGCCTGCTAAACAGATATTGCTGACATCTGAAAACTTGATCAACACCTGCCTTCCAAGTTTGTTCTGAAAAAATGATTGCTTAACTTTTATTTCCTTGCTATAGCCTACATGATGATAAATGGATGAGTTCCGTGCAGTGTTAGTAACTGGGGAGGGAGACAGTCAGGAGGAGCCACGTTTGTCAAGGGCTAACTGTTCACTTAGTCCCAGGCCACGTACTTTTTACGTGCAACAACTCGTTTCAACTTCACACTCAGTCTGGAACGTAGGTTTGCTTATCATTTTATTTGACAATTGAGGAAGCCTGTGGAGGGAGTTCTTAATGGCCGACAAGATTAGCATTTTGGTTTAATCTAGTCTCTTATAAAACGTTTGGCACCTGTGACTTCGCCCACTCTAGTCATTGAGATAACCCCAAACACCTCCACATAGGAGGTGGGAGGGAGAATGATAATCACTCCCACTGAAGAACTAGGTATTCGAAGTCACGCGAGGAGTATGTTTCTTCTGTGGGGTTTGAATCTAGTCTGTCTGACTGACTACAAAGTTCTGGTTCTTTTTCTACACCATCCAACCCCCCATACCCTCTGAACCATGTTCCTTCAATACATATTTGAAAATGCGAGCTAATTGCAACTACTCTCACTTTTTCCAACATGGGTGACAGTTAAGCCCTTTTCACATATATTCTTTTTGGTTGTTACCTTGAGTGGTCTGACATATGTCTTTGGTAGAATGTAAGACAGTCTTTAGACCCAGGGGCAGAGCCTGTGTCATTCATTTTAGCATCTCCAGCACTTAACTTCAGGTGGGGAGTTAATCTGTGTTTAATTGGAGCGTTAAAGCACCTATTTGTGCTTTTCAGCTAGAGACAGTACTCTTCCATTCCTGAAATTGTTTTCGTTGTGAAGTGTGATTCCTACTCATAGCGGTCCTGTATAGGGTTTTTGAGGATCAGCTGCTGAATTTGAACTGCCAACCGTTTGGTTCAGACCAACCTGTAGTCCAGTGCGTCGTCCCACAGGGCCACACCAGGACTCCATTCCCAAAATGTTGTTGTTGTTAAGTGCTGTCGAGGTCCAACCCATAGTGACCCTATGTAGGGTTTCCAAGGAGCAGCTGGTGAGCTTGAACCGCCGACCTTGCAGTTCAAACGGCTTTGCAGTCTGGCGCATTAACCCACAGTGCCACACCAGGAGATCCACATTCCCAAAATAGGCACTTAAAAATATGTGTGTGTGGATGGGCTGGTGTTCGCTTGTCTCTGTGACAGGATTTTGAATGGGTGGGGACAGGATACTCATGGGCTATGTAGTGAAGGAGATATCTCATCTGAAATGTCAATAATGTGCCTGATGACCAGCATGAGAGCTCTAATCCTTCAGGTTAAAGCACTGCTGTTGAGCAAAGCATCAGTTATGTGAGAAAAGGGAGCCTGGTTCTCTAAATTTTAGGTGAGTGCATTTCCATTGATTTGAAAGCAATATAGAAAAGAAAATTAAGTTGAATCAGATTTCCTGTGTGGTGATGAATGATCCCTTCAGAAGTTCATCCCTGCAATAGTAAAGTTGACTGGTGGATTACTTAAATCCTGTGGATTGTTTTGTGAGTATTGCAGGGTTAACTCAAGGCATAGCATATATTCTTTGAAGAGGAGTAGAAATATATAGAC